TGAGTCTACCTCAAAAATTTCACTAGAAGAGGCTATTTTGATGCTCAAATATCTTCAAATTGATCATCTCGACATCAAGATGTACAGACATGAGAAAAAATGGATTTCAAGTTTTGGAAATAGTATATTTTGTTATGCATTTTGGACTGTCAATTTTCAAAATTTTCAAGTTTTCATAGATTTGTCAATCTACACTATTTTTGAAGCTTTTAACTTTATAGATAAATGTGAAAATATATTTTAAGGCTATTACAAAGATTTTCAGTATTGAAACCATATTTTTCGACACTATCTAAAGGTGGGCACTAATTTGATTGTTTAGAGCCTACGCTCTATACAAACGGCACCCTTTAAAAAACGGTGTGGTTTCTATAAGGTTGCAACTTTAAACAATCCAATTAAGACGCACCTCCAAATTTTATCGTAACATATAATTTTGTTTTAAAATATTCTTAGGATTATGTTAAAATTTATTTTCATATCTAATTAGAAATTTTTAAAACTCCAAAAATGGTTAAAATCAAGTAGATCTATAAACATATGAAAATATTGAAAATGAACGATCTATATAATGTGTTGCAAGATGCATTATTTCTAGGACTCAAAAACTTTTTTTTTTCTTTTTCATATTCATACATCTCAATGTCGATATGATCAATTAGATGGTTTTTCAACATTAAAACAACCTTTCTGATAGATTTTTGAGATGCATTTGTAACTCTACATTTTTAATGTTGCAACCTTATATAAACTTTTTCCTTTAAAAAAAGCTTAATTGCTTCTTTCTTGTATAACATATGTTTATGGTGGTTTGCTTTAAAAAAAAAAAATCTTCTCTATGCTACAATAATATTATAAACATTGGATTGTTTACTGTAAGATCCTTTATATTTAGTACGTGATGGTCAGAATCACTATTATCCGTTAGCTATCAGATTAGAGATATGATAGTTTGAGGAGTCGTAAATTTAAAAAATACATATGTTTTTAGATTTTGATGATGATCAATAGTCAGCAGGCCAATTTACATTTAACAACTAAAGGTGATTTTGATTGACTTGTATTAAAAGTAAATAGTAATATTACCTGCTTTTTCCTAAAATTATCCTTCCTCTTCAATATTTTCTAGTGTTTCTTTTTTCCAAATGAAAACGTTTATATAAGGTTGACGCATTATATTGTAGAATTAATTACACCTCAAAAATCCATTAGAAGATGTTGTTTTGGTATTGAAACACCATCTAATTGATCATCTTATCATCGAGACGTATGGATATAGAAAAAACGAATATCTTAAGTCCCAAAGATTAGTACATCTTGCAATATACTAACACATATATGGACCGTCCATGTTCAAGATTTTCATACGTTTATAGATCTGCTTGATTTGAACCATTTTGGAGTTAAAATTTTATAATTAGAGATGAAAAGAGATTCTCAATCCATCCTAAAAAATTTCGACACCAAATTACATTTATGACAAAGTTTGGAGGTATGCCTTACTTTGATTATTCAAGGTAGCAACTTTATGCAAACCACACACCCTTTCCAAAAATGAGCGAAGTTTGTTATCTAAAACAAGCAAAATATTCTCTCATTAAATTAGCTTAGTAATAGGGTGGCCATTGGGTTGGGTTGACCCACCGACCCTACAGGCCTGACCGAACTCTACTTGGGTTCAGGTCTGCACCAAAACCTAGGTCGAATCTAGGTTGAGCTCCATCGAGGATCTTATTGGATCAGGTCGGGTGTACGTTGGGATTGACCCACGACTCGATATATGTGTACTAACGTATATATGACATATACAACTCTTAGTTTTGTATATTATAAATAAGGGTGTGGTTTCTATAAGGTTGTAACCTTAAACAATCCAATTAAGGTGCACCTTAAAATTTTATTATAATATGTAATTTTGTTGTAAAAAATTCTTAGTATTCTCTTAAAATCTATTTGCATACCTAATTAGAAAATTTTAAATTTAAAAAATGGTTAAAATCAAGTAGATCTATAAATATATGAAAATCTTGAAAATAGACAATCTAGTTAATGTGTTGTAAGAAACACTATTTTTGAGACTCAAAAACTTCTTTTATCTCGATGTCGAGATGATCGATTATAGGGTTTTTTCAACATTAAAACAACATTTTCGATAGATTTTTTAAGTGCATATGTTATTTTACATTTTAAGGTTGCAACTTTATATAAACTTTTCCTGATAAATAATATAGTTTCAAAAAATAATAATATAATATAAATTTTATTTTTTAAAATTTAGACCAGGACTTTGTTGGGTCCATGACCTAGAGCCAACCTCAGGGTTGTGTCCAACTATAGGACCTAGTCAGTACGGATCTCAGTAGACGTCGACCCTGACTCGACCTGGCCTATTTAAGACCCTACTTAATAAAATCGAGCGGCATCCAACCACTTACTTAAAAAAGCAGCGAGTGCATGATTGTTGTGATTGTTGAGAGAGAGAGAGCTTCCATTTCTTCTTGGATGTTTGGAGGAGAGATGAAAATTGTTTCTCTCCCCAAACGATATTCAATCAATTTCTATCTCCCCAAACAATTCAATCAATTTCTATTTATTAATTGTGAGACCTTTTTATACTCATGTGTGTAGGATTTCAGAAAAATATCTTTAAATTTAGTACATATCTCTAGAAAAGTCAAACCCCACACTTATGTGATAACTTTTTTGGAGATCTAGGTTAAGTTTAATGGTAATCTTTTGGGGTCCTACATAAATAGGTGTGAGGGATCTCATAGGATTATTACTCATTAATAATAACTTACGGAAAAAAAAAAAGAGAAATCTCAAATTCCTTATTAGCCTTTTATTAAAAACTAATTTTGATATTAATATTTATAACACTTCAACATGTACCATATATTAACCTCGCATCTATTTCAGTGTTTAACATTAGATTACAAGTTCAATTCTAAGCAAAGCAAGTTTTGGAGATCTATGTTAAGTTTAATGGTAATCTTTTGGGATCCTACATAAATAGGTGTGAGGGATCTCATAGGATTATTACTCATTAATAATAACTTACGAAAAAAAAAAAGAGAAATCTCTAATTCCTTATTAGCCTTTTATTAAAAACTAATTTTGATATTAATATTTATAACACTTCAACATGTACCATATATTAACCTCGCATCTATTTCAGTGTTTAACATTAGATTACAAGTTCAATTCTAAGCAAAGCAAGTTTTGGAGTGACACCCATAAGATGCCCTTGTTCTAAAAGATGGGCTCCAAGAATTTGAAGCAAAAATCCAAAAATGAGAGAACTAATATTGCCAACACCTTCTTCAAATTGATCCTCAATTCTAAAATACACGTTTTTTAAGGTAGATTGCTGAAATCGGATCCATTATCATTGCTTTTAGTCATGTTATCTTTATTAAAATTTCTACTCATATGGCTAATTCAAAATACTTGAAAGCATGAGCAAGTCAAAATCCTCTATTACTTCAAAGTTCCAAGTAAAGTATGAGCAATTAAAAGTCCTCTTTTAATTCAAAGTTAATCTATTGGTTTAAGACATTCTAATCCATCTCTAGAGAGAAAAGATGCAACCCCACCTCAAAATATAGGTAAAACTTGAATCTTGGTTCCACACTATTCATGATTTGAGGTTGTTGCTATACCATGCCCAAATAGTGCTACTCAAATTTTGAGGAAACATTCTATTGCATCTCCAAGCTTATCTTGAGTTCTCACTTATTTCAAAAAAAAAAAACTTATTTCCATCATGTGTTCTCCATTATCTACTAGTGTCGACTTATTTTGAGTGAGGTCCATTTAAACTTCTAACAATTCATACTGTATGATGTGTGATCACAAGAATCAAAACGGAATTGAGAGTATTTATCTTTTGTAAAAAGAGGTCACAATCACTATAGTTTTTTAAATTTCATAGCGGGTGAATGTAAGAGTGTCATTGAATAAATATAAAATTTCAAAAAAAAAAATTCTCGAACTACAGGACTTATCCTGAACCATCCAATTTGAAATCTAATGAATCAGAATAGTTGTAAGCTCCCTGTACAAAATATAAATAGTCTATTTGTAGACAAAATCCCGAATCAAAATTCATTTACTCCATAATGTCATTTTCTCTATTATCCATCAATGATAGAGGAATGGTATTTGGTAAATAAGCCAACGAGCATCTGCTCTGATTTTCAGGGGATTTAAGACCCGAAACAGAGCCCTGTAAATCCAAACGTGTATCATCCATGCAGTTGGAACTTCAAAAACAGAGTAGATCTAATGATCAGCATTAACATAGATGGTCCATATATAAAATACTCTATTTTCAAGGTTGGCATTTATTTTTCATATTCATGTGCCAAGATCGATTTTGGGAGGGTGGACTTACTGTTACAAAGTGTGTCGCCAAAGATACTTACACCATACTTATTTTTAATATATGCATCCAATTGCTATCTTCAAGGTAGATTTTGGAAGGGTGGATTCACTATAACAAGTGAGATCACTACAAAAGGTGAGTCTGAGACTCACCAAAGACCATACAATTAAAGTTTGCATAATATGCAACCTTAAACAATCTGAGTAATAATAAGTCGTACTTAATATGCAACCTTGAACATCTTATATTTTACACATGAATTAATAATAGATCGTACCTTACCATTCAAAACAAAAAAACCATAAACAATCAAAGTAAGGTGCACCTCCAAACTCTATCATGGATGGAATTTTGGTGTCAAGAATTCTTAGGACGGTGCGCATTTTTATCTCTAATCATAAAACTTTAAACTCCAAAAATAGTTCAAATCAAATAAATCTATAAGCATATGAAAATATTAAAAATGAACTCTCCAGATAAGATGTTGTAAGATGTACTATTTTTAAGACTTGAAATCATTTTTTTTCTCCATATTTATACATTTCGATGTCGAGATGATTAATTGGACGTTTTTCGAACATCAAAACATCAAATATTGCGATGTGCACTTTAATTTTATACTTCAAGGTGTCAATCTTATATAAACTTTTCCTTATTGTGCATGTTATACAAATTGATAGAACTAAGTGTACATCACCTCCAGCTATATTTGGCCCAAAGCCAAACACTTAAATAAAACCTAAACCCTAACCCCTCATACAACCAGCCTAAACAGCCCCAGCCATCTTTGTAAAGAGTCCATAAGAGCTCTCAACTAAACTTCTTTAAAAGTACTTCTTTAAAAGTACAAAGAAGCCTCAGATTGTAACCTTAATATGCATAGAGACATCTTGCATATCAAACAAAAGCCATATCTCATTCACTCTACCACTGAACTCAAATGGTGAATTGTACTGAGCTACTGTGAATACATCAGGCTTGTCGTCATGGCTTTTGCTCTTGGCTATGGCAGTGGACCATTTGGATCCCAACAAGCTAGCATGGAGCTTACTGGCTTCTTGGCCGATGTTGTAATCGCTTACGAACCCACCAAATTGGCGAACAGCTGCGAATTTTTTAACCCACTTTTGGGCTTGAAGTCCCTGAGCCGGAGGTGGATCTGCTTGGTTAGCTCCGGGCACGTAGAAGCTTACAACAAATTCCGAAGCACAAAAGGGTCCACTGCTTGGAAAGACCTCTGTCATAACAGGGGCAGTCATCTCTATCTTGGTTCCATACTTGTTCTTCCCTTGAATGTAATCGAAGAGCCTGAAAATTTACCGGGTTCTTGATGATTTAAACAAATCGGACTTGTACTTCCATTGAATGTAACAAGCAAGCCAAAAAAATTATTGGTTTTTGTCAATCGTTCGAATTGGTTTTTGTCAATCGATCGAATGAAATATAGTTGTTCCTCATCTGAATGTAATAAAAAAGCCCTAGATATTTATTGGCTTTCTGATCAATCAAATAAAACATACTTGCTCTTCCCATGAATGTAATCAAAGAGCCTGAAAATTTCTTGGTTTACTGATAAATCAACCAAAATGCACTTGTATTCCACTGAATCTAATACAAAAGGTCTGAAATTTCATTGGATCCTCAGTTAATTGAACAAACAAACTATAATGATTATTCCATTGAATGCAATGAAAAAGCCTCAAAATTAACTGGTTTTTATCAATTGATCGAATAAACATAGTTGTTCCTGATTTAAATGTGTAATGACAAGGCCTGGAAATTTATTGAGTTTTTGAGCAATCAAATAAAACAAACTTGTACTTCCCTTGAATGTAATCAAAGGCCCTGAAAATTTATTGGATTCTTGGTCCATCAAACAAAAGGCACTTGTACTTCCATTGAGTGTAAAGAAAAAGCCTGAAACTTTCTATCAAAAAAAAAAAGCATGAAACTTTATGGGTCCTTGATAAATCAATAAAACATAATACAAGTTCTTCCCTTGAATGTAAATAAAATAAAATAAAATAAAAAACTCAAAATTTCTTGGTTTTTTATCAATCAATCAGATAAAACAAAGTTGTTTATCACTTGAATGTAACAAAAAAACCCTGGAAATTTATTGGTTTGTCAATCATTGAAATAAATATATAGAACTTACCTCTTGTTCCCTTAAATGCAATTAACGAGGCCGAAAATTTATTGGGTTCTTGGTAAATCAAATAAAAAATACCTGTTCTTCCCTTGAATTTAACAAAAGAGACTCAATATTTAGTGGGAATTGATCAATTAAATAAAACATATATCTTCTTCCCATGAATTTAACAAAAAGCCTGAGCATTGCAAAGTTTACTTTCAATGAAATCAAACATGCTTGCTCTTCCTTAAGTGTAAAAGAAAAATCCTTAACATTTGATGGGCTTTTCTTTTCACTTACCATTTGATCAATTGAATAGATTTAAACTACAAAGTAGAATCAGTAATGGGAGCATAGGTGAAGAAGAAGTTAAGGGGGTTATTTCTTTTGTCATTTACTAAAAGAGAAATTAATCCCATTTTTATGAAATCTGAAGATTTATTTACTTGGATTCAATTGATTAAATTGAACAGGACTTACTGAATTCTTAATCTATTTTTCCAACAAACAAATAGTATAAAAAAAGAAAAGAAAAAGAGACTTTTCCATTAACTACATAGAGATAGCACACAAAGTAACAGTTAAAGTAAGAGAGAGAAAGAACATGTATTGAATTAGAAAGAGATAAACCAAGAATAAATAAATAAAATGAATTAGAAAGAGATAAACCAAGAATAAATAAATAAAATGACTATAGATAAAGGCAAATAAAAGGTCCAGAGAGAGAGAGAGTTGTTACTCAAGAAACCCAGTTCTTGTAGCGCTAACAAAAGAGACATCTTGAATGGGAGAGGTAGACACCCAGAGAGAGAAATTGTAGCGTCTGATTTCGAACCCATCTCCCTCATGAATTGTGGCATAAGAGGGGCACTCTATGCTCTTGCAAGATGGTGGGAGAGCTCCATTTATGGATGAAAGAGAAACCCAAAAGATAACCGTGAAGAGAGAGAAAGAGAAACACATCTTAGAGACCGCCATAGTTGAACCGGAATACATGACAGAGGAGAATTTTAGAGAGAGAGAGAGAGATAAGTGAAGTACGAGTGATGAAGGGAATAGGAAGCCCATAAGACTCAGTGACAACCATGAAATTTCTGAGAATGTCAGAAGTACCCCTGAGTGCTGTTTATATAAGGTGGCGGCTTTACAGAGGAAAGTGCAGCCACACCACTAAACACTCGGATATATTGTTTTTGAAAGAATTGTTTGGAAAATATTTTCTAAACTCTAATTAGGGATTGTATATAATGAGATCATTTGCTTTTGGTGCAAGAAGGTCACCATTATATATAGGGAAAGTATAGAATGAGACTTTTTACCTTTGATACAAGGTGGTCACATTAATCTTTACCATTGGACATAAATTTGGGAGAATCAATATAAAATTTTAAAAGAAATTTTTTCAAACTTTACGACACATCCAAGCTATTGAATTTCATATCGGATGGTTGTAAGTAATTGTGACCAACTTGTATCAAAGATAAATGATCTCATTATATACAATCTCTTATATATAACTATCCGATGTTAATTTTGATAACTTGAGTGTATCACAAAGTTCGAGATTTTTTTTTATTTTGAACTTTGAACTTAGTCAATAGAATAAATAAAACCACCTAATTTCACACCTAATAGTCAAGATTAAATGTGATCACTTTCTATGAAATGTAAATCATCTCATTGTATACTTCTCCCACTAAAAAATTACAAGTAGCAATCAGTTGGGTGGCCCGGTGTGACCCAAAAAAACTAGGACCTAAGCCACAAAACATGGCCAAGGGCTTAGCCATGACTTGGTCACTAGGACCTGAGAGCCATGCCAAGCCTGGCCAAGGCCAAGACAAGGTTGGGACAGGGCCAACCCAATTGGCTTGGACCGACCGTCTTTTTTCTTTACATTCCTTGATTTGTTTTCTTTTTTATCTAGCATGTCCGGGATAGGCCCTGCCCCCATCCAGCCGTAATTGTGTTAAGGCAGGGCTTGGGTTGGAGCCTTTTCGACCCTGTCAAGGCCGGGCTAGGCCTAGGTGGGTCCTATGGTAACTATGACCAATGCCAGCTTGCTGCTAATCCTATAGAAAATATTGTTTTAGTGCTAGAAGCTCCTAGGATGGCTTCAATTTGTACTGTCGATTGGTCTAAAAATAGTACAGTGATGGACCTATACATATAATGAATATGAATAGTCCCAATAATATGGTACGTACCATTTTGGCGTTTAACTTTCTTATTTTCACTAATAATTATCAAAGATGGGAGATGATCAATTTCGGTGGTTCTCCAAGTACCAAAGTGCCAATTGAAAGATGCATAGAAGATCTTTACGATGGCTTGAAGGGAATGGTTGGTCCTTGAAGGTTTGAAACTTCGAGGGGCGGATACCTCAACTTAAACGTCCCACCCTCCATTCCTACCATTAACATGTCAAAACAAATAATGTATGGTGGCTTAAAAATAAGTTTTCAACTACTAGTTATAGAATTTAAAGTTATTTAAAACTAGTATACATATATAAACATTTGAAATTCTTGAAATGCACAATCGAGATAATATGTTATAAGATGTACTATTTTTTTGAACCTTTGCTCGTATCTATATCTATCTATCTATTATACATTAAGCGAGAGTAGCACCTTTTTTATTATCGCACCACGTGTCTTTTTTCATTCAATTCTTATCTCCCCCTCTCTCCCACGAGAGTTATCGTGCCAGGTGTCTTTTTTTATTCAATTATTACCCTCTCTCTCCCACATTTCTACACAAGCTCTCTTTTATTTCTCTTACTTTACCCTTTTTATATCTCCTATACCGGTGATGTCATTTTCTACTTTTTGTATACCCTTAATGTACTCGATATTTGTTTTCTCTTCTTGCCCCACATGCGTTTCTCCCACATATATCTCTCTCATCTTTCTCCTTTTTACTTTTTCTCTCCTCCTCTCATAATTCTCCTACCCGCATTACTCTTTCTCACACATGCATACACACCACAACTCTCTCTCTCTTCTTTCCCTCTCTCATGCATGTTACAATTCTCTCTCTCAAGTTTTCACATATACTTCACACGTAACAAATGTGACTATGCTAATACTTTTCAAGGCAATCATATTTTTTTGCTCTACATAGGTATGTTGATTTCAATTTTTTTTTTATATTGTATATTTGTCTGGATTTCTGTTTTCTCTTCTTTCTTTTTTTGGTTTTTCTTTTCCAAGAACCCATAAATGAAGCTCATCTACACGTCATGAAAGAAGCAAGAAACATGGCAAAGCAGCTTTGGCTATTTGATAGAGAACCTAGATAAGACTTCATTTAGCTGCTCATTGGATGTTACAATTCTTCGGTATTACTTTTGCTTAGAAGTGTGTGTAGTGTTTAATATAAGAACTAAATAGTTTTAATTGTTTATCAGATGTACTTCTACATGTTAAATGAAATTATGTAAGGCAATCATACCTTTTTTTCTATATAGGTATCTTGATTTATATTATCTATTAATATTGTATATTGTCTAGATTTCCGTTTTTTTTCTTTTCTTTTCTAAGAACGCATAGATGAAGCCCAGCTGCATGCCATAGAAGAAGCGAAAAATATCTATTTAGCAACCTTGGCTACTTTGAGAAAGAAACGAAACAGATGTATCTAGCAACCTTGGCTACTTGAGAGAGAACATAGATAAGCCTTCATTTGACTGCTCCTTGCATATTAGGTATTACTTTTGTTTAGAATTATTGTAAGAACTAAATCATTTTAATTAGTTATCGGTTGTACTCCTATATGTGCCATGAAGTTATGCTCATAGATGATAAAATACACCCTATTAAAATGTATTAGTTGTCATGAGTGGACCTATGTAACATTTTCATGAAGATGAGTGAATATTATATCATTATTTGCATTAAGTGAATTTTCATTTTTTATGTAATTCTCATTGTTTAATTGCAGCAATTTGTTTTTTTGATATATGAATCGGACAAGTATAGTGTATTTTTAAGAAAATAATATTCTCCAGGTAGTAAATATATTTAATGCTACAATTGTAACTATTTGGTTAGAAATACTAATAGTAATAAAAATAATTCATTTTTATTATAATTTTCAATTATTATTATAAATATATATTAATATAATACTACAATTATCCCACTTCTTTCTCTCTTTCTCTCTTTTCACCAATATTCTCATGTACCTACTCTTTATCTCTCTTAATAAATCAACTTTCCTGAAATTGCTCTCTTATTTTATCTTTACTGATAAATCTCTTGCCCCTACTATTTTCTTTATCTTCTCTCTCCTCACTAATATTCTCATGTACCTCCATTCTCTCCCTTTCCTAATAAATCATCTTTCCACTCTCTCTCTCTTTCCTAATAAATCAACTTTTCTAAAATTTCTTTACCTCTCTCCCCCACATTTCAAAACTTCTCTATGTCATAACTTCCATTTACACATAATATACTTTAGTTTCTTTCATATTTGAATAAAAAAATTTCTATTTAATGAGCTGTTGAATGTATGATATAAAATGTAGCTTTTTATCTCATGTAAATTTCTTTCATTTATTGGAAATCATTAATGTTATTTGTTTTCAATTTTAAAGAACTTTTTTATATTTTGTGTCAAATTATTTAATTTATATTAATGAATGACATAATTGTAAATGCAAAAAATAGAAACAATAATTATAATTAATCATAAATACAAATTATAAAGGTGCTAACCTAATTTAAATTATTTTGTAGGAATAACTACCTCAAAATCAAGTCACACCAGTAAATAAAAAATTTAAAAATTATAGGATCACTATGATTAATAATTGCAAAAAAAAAAAAAACTCTTCTGATTTGTTTATTCATTTAGGTTTTTCTTCTTCTAATTCTTTCAAAATAGAATAATCGTTTATAATCTTATAAATTCAAAATAAAATAAAATAAAGAAGAAAAATTTTACTGTCATAAAATGAGAAAAAATAAATAATAGCAACACTATGATTAGTTTTGACTGCAATAGATACATGTTTATTATAATTTTATTATATGTATCACGTGATATATTTTTGTATTTTCATATTTTCTAATTTTTTTAATAATTTTTACTTATAAGTTAATAATATATATACTTTTGTAATTAAAAATAAATTAATTATATTATAAATAATATAAAAATAATATAACCAAAAACATAAAATTGAGAAATAATTAATAAAAATACAAATTATAGAAGTTAATATAGTAAAAATTATATTGCTAAATGAAAAAAAAAGAAAAATATAATTTTTTATTGTTTTTCTTTTTTGCATCTTTAGTTTTGTAAATTTATCAAAATAATACTAACTTATAAATAAATAATATATATTAATATAAGTCAAACTAATTTAGTGACTAATATAATTAGAAAGAAAAAAACATAATAAGGAAGTTTTTGGGCTTTGGTTTGACCCATAAATATGCAGAATGCATTAAATTCGAATAAGAGAAAATTATTTATATTTTTGTATTCACTGTATTGTTTCTCAATTATTTTTATTTAAGACCGACAAAGTAGGTTTATATTCTCTCTCTATAGATGCGCCTATTAGAAGCTCCTCTCTATAACTGAAAGTCCTTTTAAAATATTATTTCAAAATAAAAATATATCTTTTTAATTAAATTAATTTCATGTAAACACACGGGCATATCACTAGTACCTATAAGCCGAGTTGAGCAATTAAAATGGGTTTTCTAACTTCAAAACAACATTTTTTAATTGATTGTGATTGTATACAATAGGACTATTACCTTTGATATAAGTAAGTCGCAATTATTTACAACCATCTATTCTAAAATTTGATAGTTTGGATATGTCACAAAGTTCAAAAAATTTATTTTAAAGTTTGAACTTTATCTATAGAATAAATGCAGCTATCTAGCTTCACATCCAACGGTCAATATCAATTGGGACAACCTAAACAAAAATAAATGGGTTTACTGTATAGTCTCCCTTTAAAGAAAATGGTAAAAAGGAGATTACAAGATGTTTGAGGGGCAATTGAATACGCGGTGTTCATCAACGCAAGG